GGGGGGGGGTTCGGACAAGTGGCCACATAAAAACTGACCCGAACTAAATTGACCCCTGAGTAATGCTGACCACGTATATAGATTGACATTTTTTTAAAACTAGTTCCCAAAACAATGATCAAGTCAATTATATATTCTGCATTTCGAAGGTTATTGTGAGCAATTTTCAGTGCGTACAAAACTTATGTTGCAAAGTGTGCCCGAGGGGTGCGTGAAATGTTACACGATAATGTGTGCACACATACATTTTCCTCTGCGAGGTGGAAAAAGACAGTGATCAGAGGCTTGATATGGGCCTGGTCGCGCACGCTGGCACCGGGCTTCGCTGGCGACCCACCACCGGATCACGGTCACACACGGGCGCGACACGCGGGCCAAATCAATGGGGAGTGAAATGAATTGCCATCACCGGGCCAGCGGCGGCCGGCGACCCACCGGGCCCAACGAGCCTACTTATAACCCCATCACAATGGGGTCCTCGCGGCCGCGCCAGAGTGGCGACTCGGGACGCGTATAAACGCGCGCCCAGCAGCGCCAAAGCCGCGCGGCAGAAACGCGATGCCGCGTGTGTTTGATGTTTCGCACGCGACCGCGCGGACCGATCCGACCGAGTTATAGGACGAGGGGACATAACATCCTCCCACGGCTCAGCGAGTCATTATTATATTAGTTTAATTATTGGGATACGCCTCCCGGCTGGGCGGGCCGTCGTGAGATTAAGCGGCCCCCACACGCCCCGAGCCGCGACACACTAACGACAACCTGGAGATTAACAAGATAGACGCGATGCATTTGTTTCGCCCCATTGTATTTTTGCAAATCCAGCCTGCTCAGTCATCTCCACCTACCCACTCCGACCAGGCCGCTCCACTCTCTGCGAAGCTCCAGTCCAGCCGGTGAAATCGCCTCCCATCTATATCTGTGCCGCAATATACAATACGGGAAGAGTTATTTTTGCACAGGAAAGTGATGCATTACGGATCCAGTGATACGCATGCGCTAGATTGCCGCTGCCGGGTTTTAAATCGAAGAAATCGCTCTGCGGTTTCTTGGTAGAGAGTCAGTCCCTATCTATCTCAGACCCTTCCCCTTCTCCTTCCCCTCCTCTCTTCCTTTAGCGCTCTCCCTCTCTCCCTCTCTTTCTCGCTGGGATTTTGCCAGCACTGCACTGCAGGCCTTACTGTATCACACAGTCTCCGTATGTCCAGACTAAAGCGCCGGTGGTGTAGGATGAGTGAAAGAGGGATGTCTTAGTGGAAGGATCGCGCGGAGCTCTGCCCACAGCAAAATTGCAAACTTTTACAGGATAAATATCTTTAACTAGACGTGAATATTGTTTAATTCTTATGCATACAATACAATTGACGCCGCGCTTTTCAAACGCAACATAGGATGGATTTAAAGGTACTGTGTAGACCTCACAGCATGCATTTCTCCTTTTGAGAATCACAAGTCTCCAGTTCGGCGGGCTACGAGAGGAAATTGCACCCAGAAATTGGATGGGCCAGTAGTGAACATGTAAATTACGAAGCATTGAGCATATTTTTCGTCAAATAGCAGTACTGACAAATCATAGAAATCGTGCATATTTTGCCAACTGGACACAGGCTCTTAGAAAATTCAACAGTGGGACAGTCCGATGCGAGGGTTGCAGCAGTGTGACTGCCATGCTGTTTGATTTTCAGAGCACTAATATTTCATCTAAAACGAGGATAGGCAAAGATTGGGAACAACGGCAAAAAATGAGACGACAATAACGGTTACACTTGGCTGACGGGGGCACGCTCAGCTCAGACGCTGTCTCAAAAGAATCAAAGCATCAGCAATAAACCCCTTCGCCAAAGAGGAGCGCAAGAGCCATATCAGCCGGGGACTGCGGCGCGATCTCTTTTGACATGCATGACGCTCTGGGCTCTGGCGTTACATAAGGAGGGTCTCTTCTGGGCCCGACCCGGCCGTATACCGGTGGCGCACACCTTGCAAGACGATCCCGCCGAGGAGGGCCAGGGCCAAGGGCCGCGCCGCGCTCTGCTGCACACTTTTATGCGTTCTAACAAAAGCCAAGTCATACAGAGCAGCGTAAAAAAGAGAGGTTGCGGCGTGGTGGTTTCGGTATATGATGCACAAAGACCGCCCACGGGAGTGAAAGAGAAAGAAAGAAATGCGGAGGAAAGTAAGGGCAGCAGGGAAAGAGCGTCCCTGCAAAGACGAGCGCCACGAGAGTAAGGGTTGATGGACAATAAGAGGTCGACCAGCATACTTATGCGCAGACTGTATCAAACCTTTGCAAATCTCTTTGTAACGATGTGTATTGCGAGAGAAGAAATAAGTATCACAGTAGTCCCTTTAATGTACGGCGTTTTTGCTCTTTCAGATTAGAGAAAAACATCAGCCTTTTCCAATTATTGCAGTACAAGAAGTAATGCAAATAGGAAAGCAGGATTGAAAATTGTATGACAACCAGGAGCCAGCAGGAGGAAAGGCTAGTCGGCATGAGGTCTCGAGTGTCTCGCACTGATTTAAGTGAGATGGGAAAGCGGGGGCTACGTAATATTACAACGATAGACCACCAGGTTTACCATCACAAAGACGCTCGCAGATAAGGGACTGCCCAACCCCACACCCATCCAACCAGGAGGGGGGCAGTTGGTGTGCACAGAATTGAATAATAAAGTAAGAATTTTAAAAACTTCTCGTGCTTAAAAAATTACATAAGGTTTTCCTAAAATGACGAATATGCGTTTTCACCAGTGTTTCTATCTCCTCTGCAGTATTTTTTCTTCCATCAGACAGGCTCAGTGGAAGCGAACGCCCATCGGAACGCCTCCGACGGCCGACGTGTACGAGTATACGAATAACCGACCCACACCGCAGATCCGGGCGCCACGGGTACAGGCGTGGCCGGGCGGAGCCGGGCGTGGCCGGGCGGGGCGTGGTGTTGGCAGGAGAACGTGTGGCAAACGCGCCGCGGCCCGGGGCGCTACACACAGCCAATTACCGGGAGAAATGTAATGAGAGCCAGAATTTGTCTGCATCGTCGCCGCCAACTTATGCCTGATGAACTGCGATGGGGATGGGCAGAGCCCGGCAGAGCCCGGCAGAGCCCGTGTGGAGCGGTGCCATCGGGAATGACTGAGGTGCGACAGAGAGGGGTGGTGCCGGGCATTACGCCTGCGCACCTGCAGCAGCGCGAGCGAGAGGGGCGGCGCGGGCTGGCTAATGGCAGAGAGGCCGGCGCGGCCGGTACAGCCCGAACAAGGGCTCGGACAAGCAGAGAGACGGATTCAGAGCAGCGTATGCAAATGGGAATAAGTGTCAGCCCCCTGCGGCGGCCTGGGCGGGGGAGGGGGCGCGGCGGGCGCAGCCGGGCGCGGCGGACAGGCGCGTTATGCCCCCCTCCGGCGACGTTCCCAACTAGACGCTGCTGTTCGGCCCCGCAGCGGCAGCTCAACTCCGGGGTTTGGTTTTGGTCGTGCTCC